TGGACATGTGTTGAAAGGCCTTTCTCTGTGCTGTAGATCTTTGACTGAGGTGGCCATGACTGCCCTTGACATCAAGGAGCTCTAGCAAAACTGGAGTCAATGGGAATTGATTCTGCACCAGTTAAGTCATGCTTGGCACAAAAAAATGATGGTTGTGGTGTTTGGAGGGTCAGTCATCTTAGCTCCAGGACATCTCTGCAGAAGTTCCTCAGGGTAGTGTCCTTGGCCCAACCATTTTCAATTGCTTCATCAATGACCATAATAAAGCTCCCTAATAAAGTCAGAAGTGGGGATGTTCACCTGCTGATTGCATGATGTTCAGCACTGTTTGTTACTCTTCAGATACTGAAGCATTCCATGCCCAACTGTAGTAAGGTCTGATCACTATCCAGGTTTGGTTGGCAAGTGTGTAGAACCTTCAATGATTTTTCATTATTTTTCCTTTATTCAGTAATCAATTTTTGGTTTGGAGCTGTGAAATATGAACTGACCTTTTGACTACGGGCAGCTGCTTGTGGGAAAAGAAAAGGGGACAAACCAGTTGTTATTTGTTTATGAGGCCAGGCCTGAAGGTTAATTGCAGATGGTTCTTAGTCAAAGTGCTACATAGATTCATTGATTCTAAGGAAACCAGTATGTTTAGCCAGATAGCAGATTTTTGGCCATGAGTGAGGTCAGTACCTCGGAATTATTGCCAGCAAGGGCAGCACAGTGGCTTAGTGGTTAGCACGGTTACTCACAGCATCAGGAACCCAGGTTTGATTCCACCCTGTCTGTGTGGAGTTTGCGCATTCTCCCATGTCTATGTGGGTTTTCTCCAGGTACTTAGGTTTCATCCCACAGCCCAAAGATGAGTAGTTTAGGTGGATTGGCTATGCTAAGTTGCCCATAGTGCCCAGGGATGTGCAGGCTAGGTAGGTTAGCCCTCATATGCAGGGTCACAGGGGTGAGATGCTTAGAAGCATTGCTGAAATCTCCTCAGAGTGAATTGAAAATGTGGCTCTGATTGACGTCTTCAGAAAATCATTCAAGAAGCAATAATATATGCCGGTGAAACAACGCATCGTGAAAGCCACTTAAGTAATTTGACCACTTTTTTGTTATTTTCTGTTATTTATTCCTTAACTGTTGGTTTTCTGCTTTTGAATGAATGGGTCTGAAAACAAAGGTTATTGAGTTTAAATCATTGACATCAATTAGGTTATTTTGTTGTTTAATTTTGCTGTGCTAGGGTTACTGAATTTTTAATAGTTTTGCTTAAGCTACAAACCCAGTGTCTAGAATTAATTATTTGGAGTAGAGGATTGGATATTCAAAAAGTCTGGTTAGGAACCATTGGATTCAATTTTGAGGGTCTTTTAAGGTTTTAATTTTACTGTATTGCAAATAGAGGTAGGAAAGCTGATTTGATTTCAACGTCTGATCCATTCCATAACAATTGCAAGTAATATTGCCAGACACACGTGTGGCAGAAATGACCATCTCCAACAAGAGACAATCTAACTGTCAGCACTTGACATTTCATAGTATCACCAACACTGACCCCCCCACCCCCCCGCCATCAACGGTCTCCCAATGTCTACATCCTAGGGGTTACCATTGAGCAGAAACTGAACTGGACTTGTCATAAACATATACTGTTGCTATGAGGAACTTGTGCTTGGAGGCAGAGGACGTGGTGAGACCCTAAATGAGTACTTGCATTGGTATCCACCCATGAGAAGGAAATGGAGGAAAGTGAGATTTGTGGAGCATGCTAATATGTTACCTCATTTTGAGATCAAGAAAGAAGTGGTGTTGGCTCCCTTTAAAGCATTAAGGTAGATAAGTTCCCAGGGCCCAGTGGTATTTACCCCAGGTTATTGAGAGAAGCAAGAGAGGAGTTTGCTGGGGCCTTGACCAAGATCTTTGTATCTTCACTAGCTCCTGGAGAGGTCCCAGGGGATTGGCAGGTAGCTAATGTTGTTCCACTGTTCAAGAGGGAAATAGAGATAATTTAGCAAAGTATAGACCGGTGAGTCTCACATCGGTGGTTAGGAAGCTGTTGGAGAGAATTCTGAGGAATAGGATTTACTTGCATTTGGAAATGCATAGCCTAATTACGGTAGGTCAGCATAGCTTCGTGCAGGTCCGGTCATGTCTTACTAACTTGATTGATCACCTTTGTCACCTCCTCAAGAAATTCAATGAGGGTAGAGCAGTGAATGTTGTCTACGTGGATTTTAGTACGGCTTTCGACAAAGCCCCTCATGGTAGGCTCGTCAAGAAGACTAAGATGTATGGGATCCATGGTGACTTGGCTGCATGGATTCAGAATTGACTTGCCCACAGAAGGCAGCAGGTGGGGTAGAAAGGTGTTTTTCTCGCTGGAGGTCTGTGACTAGTGGTTTTCTGCAGAGATCTGTACTGGGACCTCTGCTCTTTGTGATATATATAGATGACATGGATGAACATGTAAGTTTGCAGACAATGCAAAGATCAGTGGAGTTGTGGATAGTGTAGAAAGTTCCCAAAGGATACAGTAGAGTAAAGATCAGTTGCAGATATGGACGGAGAAATGGCAAATGGAGTTTAGTCCGGATAAGTGTGAGATGCTGCGTTTTGGGAGGTCAAATGTTAAGGAAAAGTATAGAGTTAATGGCAGGACCCTGAAGAGCATTGATGTACAGAGGGATCTTGGGGTTCATGTCCAAAGCTCCCTGAAAGTGGCCATGCAAGTAGATAGCATGATAAACAAAGTGTTTGGGATGTTTGCCTTTATTGGCTGGGGAATTGAGTACAAGAGTCGTCCTGTTGCAGCTTTATAAGACTTTGGTCAGGCCACACACTTAGAGTATTGCATTCAGTTCTGGTTGCCACATTACAGGAACGATGTGGAGGCTTTGGAGAGGGTGCAGAGGAGGTTTACTACGATGCTGCCTGGATTAGAGGGTATGAGCTATAAGGAAGGCAAGAAAAATGCAGGATGTTTTCTCAGCAGCGGAGGCTGAGGTGAGACTTGATAAAAGTCTATAAAATTATGAGATGCATAGACAGGGTTATCAGTCAAATCTTTTTCCCCAGAGTTGAACTGTCTAATACTGGGGATATGCATTTAAGGTGAGGGAGGAACGTTCAAAGGAGATATGAGGGGCAAGGATTGTACACAGAGAGTGGTAGGAGTCTGGAACAAGCTACCAGGGGTGGTGGTGGAGGCAAATGTGTTAGGAGCATTTAAGGGATTTTTAGATAAGCCCACGAATATGCAAGGAACGGAGGGATATGGACCACTGGCAGGCAGAAGGTATTAATTTAATTTGGCGTCATGTTTGGCACAACATTGTGGATCACAGGGCCTGTTCCTGTGCTGTACAGTTCTATGTTCTAAAAGTGCAAGTCAGAGGTTAGGAATCCTGAAGTGAGCATCTCAACTCCTGACTCCCAAAGCCTATCCACCATCTACAAGGCACAAGTCAGGAGTGTAATGGAATACTCCCGACTGAAGAAGCTTGATTCCATCAGGAAAATACAGCCTATTTGATTGGCACTACATCCACAAACATTCACCCCTTCCATCACTGATTCTGTAGCAGCAGTGTGTACTATTTATAAGGTACACTGTAAAAATAGACAATGGCTTCCAAACCCACGACCACTTCCATCTAGAAGGACAGGGGCAGCAGGCTGGAGGCGCTGTATTAGGCACAGAGACTTAAGTGTATATGTGCAGAAGTCAGGACAGAGAGAGAGAAAGAGAGAGCAATTCATTAAGCATACAGTATTCTGGTCTTTATCACCCAGACCCCACCCTATCCCTGCAACTCCCTGGACAGTATTGGCAATTTAGCTTGGACTATCCATGTAACCTGCACATCTTTAGACTGTGGGAGGAAACCGGACCATCCGGAGGAAACCCACGCAGACATGGGGAGAATATACAAACTCCACCCACTCAGTTGCCTGAGGGTGGAATTGAACTCGGGTTCCTTGGGGCTGTGAGGCAGCTAATCACTGAGGCACCATGCCGTGCTACTTAAAGCATCTTCATAATACATCAATTAGATCTTCTCTCATTCTTCTAAACTTGAGGGTATAGTTTCATTTATGAAGTAAGTTAGTTTGAAGAAATTGGGATTGTTTTTTTTTGATGAGGAGAAGATTAAGAGAATGCTTTTATGTACTACACATGTTGAGAGTTTGGAATGCATGGCCAGGTAGTGTGGTGGAGGTTCAAATGGGACATTCAAGTGGGCATTACAGTTTGGTTTTATTTAATTTAAATAATATGCAGGGTTAAGGTGAAAAAGCAGGGTGATTGGCATTAAGTCATAATGCTCATTGAGAGACTCAGTGTAGACCTGTGGGATGCCTGCCTAAACTCCCACTTCTGTACCATAGCAATTATATGATTTTTTTTTTAAAGATTTGTGAAATTTTGCTGGCTAGGCCAAAATGTATTAGCCATCCATAATTGCCCTTGAGAAGGTGTTGGTAAGCTGCTTTCTTGAAATGCGCCAGTCCATTTGGCATAGATACTCTACAAACTGCATTGACAAACTGGACTACATGACCTGTTACCAACATAGAATATATGGCTTTGAATGTTTCAAATGAATTGTATTATAGGATGGATATAGATTGAATGAAAAAAAAGGCAATATAAAGTTGTCAGTATTTAACAGAATAACAAGTTGCAGCCGTCAAGTGAGACATAACGAAGTGTATTGTTATGAGTTTTCTCATATGAGTTTATTATAGGATAAATGGTGATTGTCTTGCTGACCAGTGGAAACTATGTTTGAATTTAAGATAATCTCAAAAATAATCAAGTACAGGTTGGAGAAAAAAAAGTGAAGAGTAATTAGAATGCACATTTCTCGGATGCATGCTCCAACTTCAGTAATATGTTTGTTATTTCGGCATGTGTTAAGCTTGTTTACAATCCTTTTTAGGTAGTGTAATTTTTTAAAGAGCTATACCTTTTTTAAAACATATTTTTCACATCTTATTCAACTTTTTAGACAGCCCAGCCTGACCCTATTGAGATCCAACGACAGCACGAAATTCAGAGGAGGGCAGTTGCCAGGAGACGAGCTAAAGCACAGCAGCGAACTGGAACCCCACACCCTGTGGAAGGAAGGATACACACTGAAGTACAAACCGGTATGATTAGGAGGGGTCTGTGTTCAAAATGGCACAAAATGCTCGTCCTTTCAAGCCTGCTGCTTCAGGATGCCACATTTCCAAGTGTTTTAATGAGGTTCTAGAGGTCATAGGTTGATTTGGAGATTTGGTTGTTATCGAACAACACTTTCTGAATATATGTGCATTGATGTTACTTGCAGACCGGGACAGGATCAGCTATAGTCTTGGCTATACACACTGCTATACCTTACTGATTAATAAGTATGTAACTGGTATCTTGCAAGACAAGAAACTAGTAAGAAGAGACTGAAATAGAATCTCTTATGAATGTCAAGTTTGAATTAATATTAACATTAATAAGTTCCAAGCTAATCTTAATTTCTGTATTGATCAGAATTGTATCTGGAAGAACTCAGTGATCGTATAGAAGAAGTTGATGTTGATACTCAAACAGATGCATTTTTGGATAAACCACAAACACCCCTTTTTATTCCTGGAAAAACAGGCAAGGATGTTGCTACGCAGATTGAAGAAGGAGAAGTATGTCATACAAAGCATGTAGAGGATATGTTTAAATATATTGTTATACATCAAATTGACAAAGTGGTCTGGATCATGACCTTTAAAAGGTGTTTTCATGGTGATAAATGAACTAGGGAATGTTTTTATTTTAGATATAGCATTGTGTTCAATCGTTCATGAGATGTGGGTGTTGCCAGTTGAGCCAGCATTTTTTACCCAACCCTAATTGCCCTTAAGAGTCAACCCATTGTGTGGATATGGAGTCGCATGTAGGCCAGACAGGGTAAGGATGGCAGGTTTCCTTCCCTGAACTTCATTATTGAACCAGATGGATTTTTTTTTTTTTAATTCAAATTTCACCATCTGTCATGGTGGGATTCAAACACATGACCCCATGAACATTAGTCTCAGGTACTGGATTATTTGTTCAGTGACATTACCATTAAGCTACCAACTCCCTATGTTGGCACAGAGCAAATTAGAAAGTCTGATAATAAAAAATTCCCCAGGAAAAAGTGCTCAAAGTACAGGTTAAATCCATTTAGGGTCATAGAGCTTTACACCACAGAAATAGACCCCTCGGTCCAACTCGCCTGCACTGACCAGATATCCGAAACTGGTCTAGTCCCATTTTCCAGCATTTGACCTATATCCCTCTAAACTCTTCCTGTTCATGTACCTATCCAGGTGCCTTTTAAATGTTGTAATTGTATCCACCTCCAACATCTCCTCTGGCAGCTTGTTCCATACATGCATCATCCTCTGCAAGAAAAGTTGCCCCTCAGGTCCCTTTTTTAAATCTTTCTCCTCTCACCTTAAATCTGTGCCCTCTAATTTTGAACTCCCCTAGCCTGGGAAAAAAGACCTTGGCTGTTCACCTTATCCATTCCCCTCGTGATTTTAAAAACCTCTATAAGGTCAGCCTCTCCATATAGCTCAAACCCTCCAATCCCAGCAACATTCTTGTAAATCTTTTCTGAATCCTTTCAAGTTGAACAACATCTTTCCTATAGCATGGAGACCAGAACTGAATGCAGTAGTCTAAAAGTGGCCTTATCAGTGGCCCGAACAGTCTCAACATGACATCCCAACTGCTATTCTGAATGTTCTGACCAATGAAGGCAAGCATGCCAAATGCCTTCTTTACCACCCTGTTTACCTGCAACTCCACTTTCAAGGAACTATGCACCTGCACCCCTAGGTCTCTTTGTACACCCACTCCTCAGGATCTTACCATTAACTGTATAAGTCTTGCCCTTACTAAAATGCAACACCTCACATTTATCTAAATTAAACTCCATCTGCCACTTCTCAGTCCATTAGCCCCTCTGATCAAGATCCCGTTGTACTCTTAGATAACCTTCTCCACTGTCCACTCTGCCACTGATTTTGCTGTGATCTGCAAACCTTCTAACCATATCTCCTTTATTCACATCCAAATCATTTATATAAATGTTGAAAAGCAGTAGACCCAGCACCAGTGCTTGCGGCACACTGCTGATCACGCGCCTCCAATCTGAAAAACAACCCTGCAGCACCACCCACGCTCTCCTAGCCAATTTTGTATCCAATTGCCTAGCTCCCCCTGAATTCCATGTGATCTAACCTGGCGACCCAGTCTACCACAGGGAACCTTGATGAATGCCTTGAAGTCCATATAGAGTACATTTAGCACTCTGCCTTCATCAATCTTCTTCAAAAAACTCAATCAAGTTAGTGAGACACAATTTCCCATGCACAAAGCCATGTTGATTATCCCTCATCAGTCCTTGCCTTTCCAAATACAAGTAAATCCTGTCCCCTCAGAATCCCCTGCACTTACTTACCCACCACTATTGTTAGAGTCACTGGTCTGTAGTTTCCTGGCTTTTCCTTACCACTTTTCTTAAATAATGGTACCACATTAGCCACCCACCAGTCTTCCAGCACATTGATGGTGTAATAGCAAAGTCCAAAACAAGAATCTTAGACATAGCCAATGACTGGTATGAGGGTAAAACTTGCTAAATTTGGTTCAAATAGATGAAAAATAATAGCAGTAAGTAAGAAGTGGGAACAGCAAATGAAGAATTTCAAGATGTTCAACATGAATATGTTCCTGTTTCTAAAAAAAACTTCAATGAAATATAACCTGTGGTTTCCGCGTAAAGTTGACCATAGTCTAAAAAAAGAGGTTTATAATGTTATGAAGTATAATTGTAGAATTAAGGTTTGAAAGAGTTTTAGAAACTAACAAAAGGCAGCCAAAAGATTGGCTAAAATGGGGAAAATAGAATACGAAAGCAAACTATATAGGCATTTTAAACATACTGTGTAGGGGCTTTTGCAAGTATAATACAAAATGAGAAGAGTAGCTAGAGGAAGCAGTGATACTTTAGAAACAGGGACAGAATAAGTTAACACATGGAATGAGGAACTGCAAGAGGAGCTGAACAAATATTTTCTCTGACTTCACAGCAAAAGATCATGTATCAGAAATTGAGGGTAACCAATGGACTATTTAAAAGTGAGGAACTTCTAAGTAATTAAACTACCAACAGGGCCATGTTATGACATACTCGAGAGACTAAAAGCTGACAAATCCCTTTGAATAGATGACCTAAGTCAAGGGATTATGAAAGAGGTAGCTAAGACACACTAGTTACGATTTTCCAAAATTCCCTAGCTTTTAGAATGATCCCAGCAATTTGAAGTTAGCAAAATTAACATTGTTTTTCAAGAAAGGAGGGAGTTAAAGAGAATTGGGAACAACAGGCCAGTTAGTCTAGCATCACGTCAGTAACTGGGAAAATGATTGAATTTATTATTAAACAAGTCGTAATAATGCTGTGATTGTACTATGCTCAGATAAAGTCAAATTGGCTTAATAAAAGAGAAGCCATGTTTAACAAATATATCAGTCTTCTGACTGAATGCAAGATACAGTCACTTGGTGTTAGGAGTAATATATTGACATGGATAGTTCCAGACTGAGAAAGCAAAGAGTACATATGAATGGGACATTTTCAAGTTGGCAGGTTATGACTAGGAGGGTGCTGCCAGAAATTAGTGCTAGAGCTTCAGCTATTTACAATTTCTATATCAGTGATTTTGGAGAGAGAGCATAATTTATCTACATTTGTTAACAATACAAAGCTATGCAGGAACGTAAGCTGTGAGAAAGACACCGAGGCTGCAAAGATGTAGTTGGGTTAAATGAATGTGCAACAAAGTGGCAAATAGAGCATAACACGGGGAAGTGTGAAGTTGCTAACTTTGGTTCTAAAAATATAGAAAAGCAAAATAGATTTGAAAAGGCATGGAGCAGCTAAATGCTGATGTTCAGAGAGGGACCAGGGTGTACTTGCACAAGGTGTACAACTACATTTATGGCAGACAATTAAGAAGGGAAGTGACCTTTTCCTACAAGGGGATTAAATTGCAAATTTAAGGAAATATTGCTAGAATTGTACACAGGTTTGCTGAAGCCAGAATCAGATCAAATACACTAAATCAAGATGGGCATTGAAGAGATGAGACTGCCATTCTATTTTTATTTTTTTTGTCAATTAAAAAAGGGATTTCTCTCTGGACAAATGTGAGATGATGTATTTGGGCAGGACAAACAAGGTGAGGGAATATATAATGATGTTAAGACCCTGGGAAGCACCCAGCATCAGAGGAAAGTTTGGTGTGCATGTAGTGTGCATACTGATCCCTAACAGTATCAGGACGTGGATAAAGTGGCTAAGAAAGCATATAGTACTTGCATTTATTAGCCAAGGAATACAAGGAGGTTATGCAGGAACTGTAAATTGTTGGTTTGATAATAGCTAGAATATTGTGTGCAATTTTGAAATCCATATTATAGAAGGCATATGATAACACTTGAGAGAATGCTGAAGAGATTTACCAGGATGTCGCCTGAACTAGAGAGTTTCAGTCCTGAAGAGAGATTGGACAGACTGAGGTTGTTTTCTTTGACATGATTGAGATGCATAAAATTTTGAGAGGCAAACTCAGGGTAGACAAGAAGAGACCTTTCCCGTTAATGGAGGCATCAGTGACCAGGGGGCATAGTTTTAAGGTAAGGGGCAGAATATTTTGAGGAGATATGACGAAAACCTTTTTCACCCACAGGGTGTTGCGAATCTGGAACCCACTGCCTGTAAAGGTAGTAGATTCAGAAACCGTCATAACATTTAAGTATTTAGATGTGCACTTGCAATGCCAAGGTATACAAGGCTATGGGCCAAGTGTTGGAAAATAGGATTAGAATAGTTTGGTTTTGAATGGCATGGACACAATCACCTATGAGCTGAAGGGCCTTTTCCTGTGCAGTAGACCTCTATGTCTATGACTGTTCTAACTGTGTAGTAAGCAGGTAGTAAAAGGTGGTGTGGATTTGATATCGAGGCTTCATGCTGTCACGATTGCTTCTCCAATGATTCATTTCCCTTTGCCTAACTTTTTCCAGCTCTTTGACTTTGACATTGAAGTGAAACCAGTGTTGGAGGTGCTAGTGGGAAAAACTATTGAACAAGCTCTACTAGAGGTTATGGAGGAGGAGGAACTGGCTAACCTGCGCGCCTTGCAACGTGACTTTGAGGAGCTTCGCAATGCCGAGCTAGCAGAAGTACAACGTATGGAAGAGAAGGAGAGACGGCACAGAGAGGAAAAGGTACAAGTCATTCCAGTATAAGGTGTGTTATGTGAAATACATTTTCTTTCACTGTGCAAAATGGTGTAAAGGTGTTCAGAGTTTGAGAAAAATGTAAATAACTTTGTTTTTAATAGATGATTAAGCGATAGATTATTATGAATTGGCATTTAATTCACAGAAGTTGTAGAATCTCAAAGATTATTTTATGAAAACTCATCACGTCTGCATGCTGGCTGACAAGTACTGGTGGCCATCCAGCCTAATCCCATTTTCAAGCTCTTGCTTCAAAGCTTAGTGAGTTACAGTACCTCAAGTGCATATTCAAGTACATTTTAAATACTGTAAGTTTCTGCCTTTGCCACCATCTCAGTTCCAGATCCCACCACCCTCTGGGAGTAACTATCGCCCTCACTTTTCCTCAAATCCTCCTACCACTTAACTAAATCTATGGACCCTTCAATCAAGGGGTGTATGGTCTTGCTATAAGCTTCAATTAATTATCCTCTCAATCTCATAGGTTCTCAAGAAAATAAGGCCAAGCTGTCTAATTTTTTTCTCATAATTGAAATTTTCCAGTCCATACAACAGCCTTGTAAATTCTCTTTATATCCTCTCTAACATAATCACATGTTTTCTCTTGTTTGTTGATCAGAGCTGGCCTGACTAGTGTCTTATATACGTTCGACATAACCTCCTGAATTTCAAATTCTGTGACATGGCTAATGGTTGCAAGTATCGTATATGCTGCTATGACCATCTTATCGACCCGTCCAGCCACATTCAGGGATATATGGATATACACTTAAAGGTCTCTCAGTTGCTCTATGCTTCAGTATCCCATCATTTTCTGTGTGTTTCTTTTCTTTGTAAGGCTTTCCAAAATACATTTTCTCCTACCTCTCCAGGTTGAACTTCATTCACCGTTGTACCCACTCATCTGCTGACTCAGTTGACTTCAGACAGCCTACAGTTTTCTTCCTCTTCACTAGGGTACAGCAGTTATTTTGGGTGACTTCAATGTGCGTGTTGATTGCTACCAATTTGGTTAGTCCAATGCAATGGAGGAGGATTGCATGCAATATATGAGGGATGATTTCCTCGACCAATATATCAAGGAACCAACTAGAGAGCAGGCCATCCTATACAGGATCTTATTTAACGAGATAGGATTAATTAGCAACCTTGTGGTGCAAGATCTTTTTGGGAAGAGTTACCAAAATATGGTGGAATTCTTCATTCAGATAGAGAGTGATACAGTTAAATCTGAGACTAGGGTCCTGAACTTAAAACTAGCTTTGAGGACATGAACTTACATTGGCTAGGATAAGCTGGCCAAGGATACTTAAGGGGTTGACAGTGGATAGTCAATGGCAGACATTTAAAGAACACGTGAATGAACTTCTACAACTGTACATCCCTATCTGGCATAAGAGTAAAATGGAGGGTGACTCACCCTTGGCTAACAAGGGAAATTGGGGCTAGTGTTAAAGCTAAAGAGGAGGCATATAAATTGACCAGAAAAAGCAGCAAACCTGAAGACTGGGAGAAATTTAAAATTCAGCGGAGAAGGACAAAGGGTTTAATTTGGAAGGGGAAAATAGAAAACGAGAGTAAGCTTGTGGAAAACATAAAAACTGACTGCAAAGTTTCTATAGTTATGTGAAGACAAAAAGACGGATGAAGACAAATGTAGGTCCTTTACAATTAGAATCAGGTAATTTCATAGTGGACAACAAAGAGATGGCAGACCAGTTGAACAAATACTTTGGATCTGTCTTCACTAAGGAGGACACAAATAACCTTCTGGAAATGCTAGGGGACAGAGGGTCAAGAATGAAGGAGGAACTGAAGGAAATCCTGATGAGTCAGGAAATGGTGTTGAGGAAATTGATGGGATTAAAACCCGGTAAGACCCCAAGGCCTGATGCTGTGCATCCTAAAGTACTTGAGGAAGTGGCCCTAGAATTAGTGGCAGCATAGGTGATCATTTTCCAACATTCTATAGACAGTGGACTGGACGGTAGCGAATGTATGCCCACTTTTTTAAAAAAGGAGGGAGAGTGAAAATGGGGAATTATAGGCCTGTCAGCCAGATATCGGTGGTGGGGACAATGCTGGAGTCAATTATTAAGAATGTAATAACTGAGCATTTGGAAAGCGGTGACCGGATCGGCCCAAGTCAGCATGGATTCACTTAAAAGGAAATCATTTTTGACAAATCTTCTGGAATTTTTTTGAGGATGTGACCAGTAGTGTGGACAAGGATCAGTTAGTGAATGTTGTGTATCTGGACCTTCAAAAGGTTTTTGACAAGGTCCCACACAAGAGATTAGTAAGCAAAATTAAAGCTCATGGTATTAGAGGTAATGTATTGACATGGATAGAGAACTGGTTGGCAGACAGGAGGCATACATTAACGATTTGGACCAAAGAATTGAATACAATATCTCCAAATTTGCAGACGACACTAAGCAGAGTGGCAGTGTGGGCTGTGAGGAGGATGCTAACAGACTGCACAGTGACTTCGACAGGCTGGCTGAGTGGGCAAATACTTGGCAAATGCAATATAACATAGATAAATGTGAGGTTATTCACTTTGGAAAAAACAGGGAGGCAGATTATTATCTGAATGGTGGCAGTTTAGGAAAAGGTGAGGTGCAAGAAGACCTGGATGTCATGGTGGAACAGTTGCTCGAGGTTGGCATGCAAGTGCAGCAGGTGGTAAGGAAAACTAATGACATGCTGGCCTTCATAGCGAGAGGATTTGAGTATAGGAGTAGTGATGTCTTGCTGCGGTTATACAGGGCCTTGGTGAGGCCATACCTTGAGTGCTGTGTGCAGTTTTAGTTTCCTATTCTGAGGAGAGGCATTTTTGCTATTGAGGGAGTCCAGTGAAGGTTCACCAGACTGATTCCCAGGATGTCAAGACTGACATATGGATTGACTAGGCTTGAACTCCCTGGAATTTCGAAAAATGAGGTGGAATCTCACAGAAACATAACATCCTGATGGGACTGGACAGGCTAGATGCAGGAAGAATGTTCCTGATGCTGGGAAAGTCCAGGAGATGTCACAGTCTAGAATAAGGGGTAAGCCATTCAGGACTGAGATGAGGAAGTTTTTCTTCACTCAGAGTTTTCAACCTGTGGAATTCTCCAACCCAGAAAGTTGTTGGGCCCAATTTATTAGATGTATTCAAGAGGCAGCTGGTTGTAGCCCTTGTAGATAAAGGGATCAAGGGGTATGGAGAGAAAGTAGGATACTGAAATTGCATGATCAGCCGTGATCCTATTGAATGGTGGTGCAGGCTTGAAGGGCCAAACGGCCTACTCCTGCACCTATTCTCTATGTTTCTATGAATTCTTAACTGTGGAGTTAGTAATCCTGATGCTGATACCAGCTATAAGGGACAAGTTCCTGTTAATTGTTGTTCCAAGGTATGTAAAGTTATCGACAACCTCTATAGTGAGGCTGTCAGTGATGGTAGAGGATGGATTCTCTGCATACTGGCCCATAACTTTGCTAAACTTTATCCCAGCTCCTTACAGGCCCTGGAGAACCAAACTACAAGCTGTGGCAAATGAAGGTCAGTATGGGTTATCAGTATGGCATCATTATTTAACAGCCACTCATAGACATTATACAATTTGAGAAGCTGCTGGAAAAGCTCAGCAGGTCTGGCAGCATCTGTGAATGCTTGGCATGCGAGAGGTAGTGGGATTGATGCCCAAATTCTCCACTAGGTACATACAGCAGGGTAAGGTTTATAATTGGGGGAAGGATAATTATAATTCTGTTAGACAAGAACTGGGTAACATAAAATGGGAACAGATGCTGTCAGGGAAGAGCACTATTGAAATGTGGAGGTTGTTTAAGGAATGCATACTGAGTATGCTCGATATGTTTGTCCCAAGCAGGCAGGGAACGTACGGTCGAGTGAGGGAGCCTTCGTTCTTAAGAGGGGTCGAACGAATGGTTAAGTGGAAGAAGGATGCTTTATATAAGGTTTAGGAAACAAGGAATGGAAAAGGCTCTAGAGGGATACAAGTTATCCAGGAAAGAGCTGAAGAAAGGGTTTAGGAGAGCTATAAGGGGGCATGAGAAAACCTTGGCAGATAGGACTTTTTACACGTACGTGAGGAATAACAGAATGTCCAGAAAAAGGGTAGGGCCGATCGAGGATTGTAATGGGAATTTGTACACGGAGCCTAAAGAGATAGGAGAGGTCCTTAATGAATAATTTTCTTCAGTATTCACAACTGAGGGACCTAGTTGTAGAGGAGGACAGTGTGAAACAGGCTGGTAGGCTAGAGGAGGTCGATGTTAGTAAGGAAGATATACTAGGAATTTTGAGGAACTTGAAGATAGATAAGTCCCCCGGGCCTGATGGGATTTATCCAAGAATTCTATGGGAAGGGAGGGAAGAGATCGCAGGGCCTTTGGCGATGATCTTTTCGTCCTCACTGTATACGGGTATAGTGCCAGAAGATTGGAGAGAGGCAAACGTCATTCCCTTGTTCAAAAAAGGGAATAGGGATAACCCTGGAAATTACAGGCCAGTTAGTCTTATGTCAGTGGTGGGCAAATTATTGGAAAGGGCTCTGAGAGATAGGATTTATGATCAGTTGGAAAAGTACAGTTTGATTCGTGACAGTCAGCATGGATTTGAGGGGGGTAGATGATGCCTCACAAACCTTACTGAATTCTTTGAAGAGGTGACCAAACACGTGGATGAAGGTAGAGCAGTGGATGTGGTATACATGGATTTAAGTAAGGCGTTTGATAAGGTTCCCCGTGGTAGGCTCATGCAGAAAGTAAGGAGGCATGGGATAGGGGGAAATGTGGCAGATTGGATTCAAAATTGGCTGACCCTTAGAAGACAAAGGGTGATAGTGGACGGAAAATATTCAACATGGTGCTCAGTTACGAGTGGTGTACCACAAAGATTTGTTCTGGGTCCTCTTCTATTTGTGATTTTTGTAAATGATTTGGATGAAGGAGTGGAAGGGTGGATTAGT